GGGTAATATAGGTATATACTAAGTTTCAGTCTTTCTAGTGTTAATAAAGGACATTGAATGCACGTAAGGTAAGTGTAAAAAATTCTATTAATATTGATAGACAGAATACGAAAAATGAAACGTATGTACGTAACGTAAAAAGGATCTTTTCATTTTTAAACTGACGCTAAGGGGAATGTTCACTCTGTTTATAATCACAGAAGATTGGAGGAATACTATCGTTAATAAAATATTGTGAGAAGTCACAAGGATCCATCGCATCCCCTGTTAACGTTTCACAAAGCGAGGCTCTGTTTGCTGTAATAACAGGGAAGGGCATAATTTCAGGTTCCACCGGGCTATCTCCCATAGAGCTTTTCTCGTTGCACGTTGATGCAATTCGTTTAGGGGCGTAATTGCCGTCGAAGGAGGATGTGAAAACGTAGTCGCTCGTGGAAATGCCGTAGACCACCCCCCCTCCCCGGCCCGTCTCGCTCCGTTTCACAGTCGGCGCCCTTATATAATAATTACTTCTCTATGCTAATTCCGTACTTTCAGCGTTCACGCGATGCCATGCCGCGCGCCGCCCGCTCGCGGAACGATCCACGTCAATGATATTTAAGCCATCAGCTCCGCTTACGACAGTCCGCAAGTGTCTAGCGTGCGACCACACAGAGCTTCCGCGTTTTGTCCTGGCCGCACGCATGTCACATAATTGTCTCCCGTTTCCTCCTTTCGTCGTCCGTTTTGGCATACGACGTACTCCGTCCTCCGACGAAATTTTCGAGCGTCGTAACGAGCAACTTGTCCTCGATTACCCAGTGAACAGAAACAGAAACGGATTTTACGGGAAAATTTATATACGCGTATTAAAAGAATATAGATCAGAGTTATTTCGACGTCGTACAATTACAGGGAGAAATAAGCTGTTAACAGAAACATTAGAGTTTATTAAAACTTGTCTTGTTATAACCCTGTACAAATTTCCACGCCCCCATTTTTCACGGTTACATTCTGACAATTTTTTACGACCGCACGTCGCACTATATTCCAGGGGTAACAGACACGTCGACTACAAATTACTCCATACGTGTCGCTGACAAAAATTCGCTGTTTTAACTAATTGTACGCCGATTCATTCTTACGTTGTTTGTACAATGATTAATTTGTGCAATCGTCAAATTATACGATTCCGCGCGGTTTTAATTAGAACCCGTAGTATTGTAGAAGTGAGTTATGGTCACTGGGCTACAATTCTCGCGTGTACCCAGTTATTTCATGCTCGTAAAGTAGTTCCCTCAAAATATCCTAGATCTTGATAAAGTCATAAAAAACAGTTTACGTAACCCTCCCCTGTACGCGTCTATACTTGACCGGAGCAACAGCAGAGAAGAATAAAGTAACTGAAAGTAATCTAGATGAAACGCTGTAAAAGAGCTCGATATAACTGAATGAGAAATAAGAAGAAACCGAGGGACGGATTTCCTCGGAGTTAGGGCTGCGGCAAATCGACTCGGTATGCGTATGCTAATTGATTGCACAACGTTCTTCCGGTCTGTAACGGGCAGCGAAGGGCAGGTATCCTTGTCGGACCCGCGAACGTGTTCATACCGTTGGATTTTCCTTATCTCTCCTCCTTTCCCCGCCGCTTGGTTTCTCTCTCGAGAGGATCGAGACACGCCTAGCGCTGTGGTTTACTTATATGTGGCGATCGGAACGCACCGGGCAATGGAAAATGGCCCGGCCGCTTTGGAAATGCACATGCCTGGCTCCCGGATCGCCTTAATCCGGCGCGGTGTACGAAAGTTAACGAGTTTCCACGCGGAGCTCGTTAAACACGATTTTTGTGCGTGGTGCACGCGCTGACACGCTAGAGATCGATCGACCGACCAACCCGAGCCCGCGAGGATGAAGCAACCGCCGCGGATTATTCTGGCTCGGTGATCTGGTTCCACGGTTTTACGCTTGGAAGTTTTATGGCCGTGGTCAACTTCGACTGGCTTAATGTAGAAGATATTTTATGGCGACGCCTTATGCTCCAGTCGTTACGGGATATTCTCGTTATCGGTTACTGCTCCTTGTATCAATCTGACAAGTTTATCTCATAGAAGACTCTTCCCATATAAGTTCATTCAAAATTTCATAATATAAAAAGAATAATAATATTACATAATGTTTGAATAGCTGAAACTTTATTAATAGGTCGTCTCACGCAACCTGCGGTATCGATTATTAATAAAATTTATTAATATATCGACCATTTAATAAAATAATAAGCGAACTGAGAAAATAATTTGATTATCTCGAAGGGCTAATCACAGGTTCACATCATTAACAGTTTTATCATTCGATAAATGAAACAAGAAATTAAAATTAATTTCGACTGATCAGGTTTGACTCGAACGTTTTAATCTACCGGGTAATTCGATCGACTTTCTCGCTTCCGAATCGCGTATGGTTAAGCGTAATAGCGGAGTAAAGCGTTATATTACCGTTCGCTTGTTAGCTTATACGGCTGATCTTATTACGGCAACGATCTTGGTGCCAGTTGGCGCACGAGCTAGGTAATTGTCACCTGGAATGAAAATCTGGATAGCAACGATCGTGGGCAGTTCTGTGGGTGGAATCAGTAAATAATTTTTCATATGATTTATTCGATGCATTATTGCGTGATTTATTATATGATTCTTGATGTGACAATAATTATGCGATTTCAATTGAAACAATTTATAACAATTGTTTATCGATTTATTTTATTCTAAGACTCGTGAAGTGACATGGCACGCTATGCAAATCACTTGTTTCTATCGGTGAACGTTTCGAAACCGGCGGTTGTGCACCTCGTTACAGGCCACGTACAGTTTTACAGGCTGCAGCTCGATTATTTTCGTGCTATTTAAAATTCCAATGAGACTCCTTCTAATCAATTCTCGGCCACTACAACGATCATTTAAAATTCAAATCGCACCGCCTGCAATCCTGGTTAAAGATTGATAAAGCTTAATATCAATTAATCGAGATTACTCAACGGAGTCAACGTGTCGCGTCGTGTTTTAATTCCCCTCTCCATTCTCGCCGTCTTATTATAGCGAGCAAACAAAGTCAGACAGCCGGCTGGTAATTCGGGGCGGTTAATCCGACTGGAGAAGCCCAGTAATTGAATATAACGTTGGACTCTCGACTTTCGTTGTCGGCGTTAATTTGCATTCGCAGTTTACCCGAGCTTCTCGATCTCCGCACCGTACCTTTGAATCTATTCCATCGCGTTCTGCTATTAATTGTCAAAGATCCGCAGTGCCTTTGATCTCCAGATGCGAACAACTGGTATTCCTGTACTCTTACATCGTTCCTCGTTCAACTGTGTTCGAAACAAAACTTGTATGGGAATTATACTTAATGTTATGTAATATAATTATACTTAGTTATTTTATTACTTAATAATTATACTTAATGTTATGTTATGTAAATGTTAAATCAGTCAGTCGAAATGAAAGATCGTAGAGTGCACACAGTGGCCCAATTTCGTTGCTTGATTCGGGGCGAAAAAAAAGTGAAAAGCGGAGAGATTGTTATCTGAAATCGGGCGATATTAAAATGTTGCGCGGACACGGTGGCGAGGTCTCGCGTTTCCGGTGAAATTTAAACACGACTCTCTTTGTACTGTCTCTTCCGTGCGACTCCCGCTCCGAATCTGCCCACGCCTCCGAACCGGATAGCCACTCGTTCTCGTTAACGCGAGACCGCTTGCCGGACCGGCGTAGAAAAAAAAAGTCCCTTTAATGAAATTTCATTG